CCATTCGTTAAGATTAAGAGAGCAGAAATGGGCTGGGCTTACTAATCATAAAGCCCATATTGTGGCCCATTAATTTAGAAGTTGAAAATTTGACTGGGAGCATAAATTGATGCTCTGTGAAATTAAATACTAATTTGAGCAGAGAACTTGGGAAAACAGCAAAATTTGGTAATCTTGAATTTCACTCTATCTATCTGATGAATTGAACATTACATATGATAGTTCCTTTGAAAAAGAAAAAGGTAAAAGCTGAGAATATGAAAACACAAACCACAAACTTTGGTATATAAATCAAAACCCCACATAATTAAGGGATCAAAAAGAGGGAAATTAAGATTAATATATAAAAAAAAGAAAAAATTATATGAAGAAAGAAAGTCCTAATCCTAGAACTAGAGCTAACGCTTGAGCTAGAAGAAATTGAAGTTATTGAATCTGAAGTTTCCATAGCTTGCACTTGCACTTGCACTTGCATAAGCATTGAGAAGCTCATTTTGTGCAGACCAGAAATCAGCTTTGAGACCTCCTCTTCTAATGGCTTTTAATATTTTGTTTCTATGTGCATATCCTGTAACCACAACCTTCTGGCTATTACCATCCACTTCCACTTTCTCTATTCCTGTAAAACAATGAAATCAAAATCAGTTAAAGTCCCCCCAAAACAAACACAGTAAGGTAAAGGAATCACACAATTAACTTAATTAATGAATTAATTACCTTTCAGTTTTGATAGGCATTTTCTAAGCCTCTTCTCATGGATGCCAACCATCTCCACCTTCAATTCAACTGTCTGCAAAATCAAACTCAGGTTAACAATTAAGAATCAACTTAGACTTGGGGAATGAAGTAAATAAAAAAGAAAAGAAAAGAATGTACCTCCATTTGAAGTAGTCTGAATTGCAAATGATGAGTTGATGATGATCTGAGCTATAAAGTGAAACAAAGGACAATGATAAGGAAGAAGAAACAAATGGAATGATGAATATAAGAGACGGGGAATGTCGGGCTTTATATATATATGATAATACAGAAGGGGACATGAAA